CCACGCTTTTTTTTTTTTTAAAAGCCTCGCTCGCAATTTTCAACTCGTGCTTTTCACGCGTCGAGAGAAGACAACAAGCGCGTCTCGTTGGGTCGAATTAGAAAAGTTCTTCGCTTTAATCGCACCGCTTTCCGTGATTATTTCAGATATGCGTTGTTCGAGATGGAATCGGTGGATCTTTTAAAAGTTGTGCATTTTTTTTTTTTTTTTTTTTATTGTGAAACGTTAAAATTATCACGATCATGGAAACATGGAAATGCGAACGAACAAAATATTTCTGTATAATATTGTGGCACAGAGAATTTATAACGGTTAGCATAAAACAATTTAAAAGGATTTTTTTTCTTTTTAGATTACGCAAAAATTCTAAATAATACGCCATCTTCGTGATTTCAAGTGTTTCGATGGAACGCAGTGATTGAGAAACACTGTGTTATAAGTTTTATAAAAGTTAGGCAAGAGTCGGTATCATAAGTATCAAAAAGTTACGAAATTTGAAGAGATTTCGCGAACGAAAACACTATGAAAATTGAAACGTAAAATGATAAGTTTTGACAATCCTTAAAAAATAATTCGTTAATTTTACTGGATTGATATTTTACACCACTTTTTTGTCTTATTCAATATACACGAACATACATATAATTTTTTGAACATTTTGCAGCAATCATTGACAGGTTCGATAAACGTCATTTCAAGTGATACTTTTTTATATCGAAAAAATTCATGAAAACGTGTAAAATGTTCTAGTTAAATAAAAAAAAAAAAAGGAAAAAAAGAAATACGATTGGAATCAAATGGGCTGTATGAATATGTAGAGATACGAAAAGCCAAGTGTCGTTCATCAAAATAACGCGATAAAATATTGCTCTGATACTCGAACCCCCTTAATGTCGATGTTATCCCGATGGATCCTCCAAGTGTCGGAATCCATGTCAAAATTTTCACGTCAAAATTTCGCTTTGACGCATTATTTAATTAAATTCGAGCGATGTGTGTCGACAAACGCTAATGAACTCGTTGTGAACATATGGTTAACGCGTTGATAATTATCAATTTCTCCAACTTTGTCTCTAAAATCCGTGAAAAATAAACGTCTTTGACGAATTGCAATTGCAAAATATTTCAATAAATATTTCACATTAAGCGATCCGATATAAATTTCGTACACGTTCACTGAATTATTATAATTTTATGATCAATATTGTTATCTTTTTGCTATCTTTCTGCGAAATATAATGATTACGAACGGTTATGATTCATTCAGAAATCGTGGAATAGTTAAAATATTTTATATTATTACGTATTTTATATTTTGTATCGATCTCTTGATTTTCGTTTCGTTCGAGTGTTTCATTTCATTATAGAATTTCCATGAATATTAATATTATTTGTAACGTAATTTTATATTCCTTTACATTATTTTATTAATTTATTTATATTTATTTTTCTATTAATCTCGACAGGATTAAACGACGATGTATTAATTATTATCTGATTAAGAGATTTTGATATTTTTTTTCTTTTTCTTTTAAAATGTCCACCTATCATCTTATCAACCTATCATCATCAAACGTAACAGACTAAAAATTCAATATATCTTTATAAAAGTATCCACATGTTATACAGATGAACAGGCAGGAATATCCAGCATTCACCAATTTTACATATTTCCAAACTTAATACCTTTACTTCCAATATTCCAATGAATGGTTCAAAACCATCCCCTACAGAATCTAACAGATGGCTCGCCAAATGGAAGAATCTTGTTTCCTGAATCATCCCTGTGCCTATATTCATTAATAACTTTCATCCCTTACTTACTATTCACCCTATAATAAAACGAATACCCTAACAGAAAAAGAGCCAAGGGATCAAGAAAAAAATTTTATTATTTTTCCAGTTGTAACTGGAAAATAATATTAATTGAATTATTAATTAAACATTGTAGTATAGACGTGATTAATAATTTTAATTTAATTTCTCTTGAGGAAAATTTTAATTTAACTTTTGATTAATCCTTCCTCAATGCACAACTCGTTATTCGTGAAATAATTAAATCGAATTTCTATAAATTATATATTTTTTTTGTAAAAATTGACAAAAGAAATACATTTCTGTCATTAATATAATTGGTTAAAAAAAATTATTTCGTTCCTTCTAAAAGTATTTAATGTATTATATTTAATATTTAAAAAAAGTTAAAAAGTTGTACGAATAAACGAACACGAAATGTATATTCTTATTAAATTAAATTAGTCGATTTGTAACAATTAAATGATCTTGAAGTCGAAAGTCTAAAGAAAAAACGCAATTCAATTTACAGAGCTGTTCGACTAGCCAGTCAGATGCGTAAACAGGAGGTGAAAATCCGTGAAAAAGTTTCAATTATCCCGGGCAAAGATTAAATTCCTAGCCGAGAATCAGAGATTAAAGCGTTAAGGAGAAACGGAAATTTACGTTCCTTGATGAATTTGTCCTTTAATTTTTCTTAACTGACTTTTATATATTTAATAGAAAGAAAGAAATGCGAAGCGTTGAAATAATTTGTCTCTTAAACATCAAGGAATTTCCTAATTTACTTGAAAATATAGAAAATTTTCTATTACGTAATTTTTTTTCACGTTGAAGGTTTCTAATTAAAAAATTTTGCGCTGTGAAGAAATTGAAATTAATTCAACGAAAATTTGAAATAAAAGGACACGTGAGAGAGAAATAAATCTTGAAATAAATTCTTGAAACTTTAATTTTCCTTTCAAATATCCTTCTTTGCTTAATGAAAAATTTTTTCTTTGATTTGAGGGATTTTATTGTAACTCTTAATTTTACAATTTAATAAATGTAATACTTTATTGTGAAGTTGATAGAATTTGGAAGATTTGGCAGTAATATATATTTTATGATAAAAGATGTTTGCACTTCATGAGTTGCATCAATTTTAAATATTGCTACTTGAATTAATATTTCTAATTTCTTTATTAGAATATATTCTTTATTAAAAGAACAATTCTTATTCGATTTTTAGCTTAACAATATTGAAGAATTGTTCCAGTATTAAATTCTTAATTCATATTATAGAAATATTTTGTAAAAAATAAAAAAAGTAATTTTATAAAATTTCATATATTTGTATTACTTTCAGATATAGAATATAATATAAATACAAGAAATTTCATCCATCCAAAGCAGAGAAACTTAAAGAAACTTAACCGAATCCCAAATTAACATTATCATTTCGATATTTTTGAATTTAACAAAAGCAGCACATTTTTTCTAATTTCTATTCCTTAAAATCGAATTTTCAATGTAAGTAGTACAAACCTATTAAATTTCATCCAGAGATATAATCCAAAATGTTGAAGAAACTGGATCAAGTCCAAAAGTCGAAAGATATCTAATATCATGGAGCGAACGCGAAAAAGGCGGAAAGGTAAAATGTTCTCTCACCTGTCCCGAACAAAGAGAAGAGCAGCAGTAGTGCGAGCCGCATTTTCGTCGGACACTTTCCCTCGCACCTGGAACACGAATCGTTCGCGATCGAAGTGGCACTCGAGCCACTCGCTCGCCTCGAGTGCTTCATCGTTCGCTCGACATCTGAGAAATGTCTCTCCGGCGTAGACCGATCGTCCCTCGAGGAAATCGCTCACTCCGTGTAATTTGCACCCTTGCGACTGTTAATCCGAAGAATTGGGGAGACACCTGGATACCCTCGATCGAGGACGTCTTTAACTTAACTTGGCGAGTTTCCACCTTGGTAGATTACGGCTCCTTCCTTTTATTTCCCCGCCTACTGGTTCTCGTGGTTAGAGAAATACGAAAGAATTTTGTTCGGGATTCCTCGATCAATTCCTCCGTGTGGCTCGAACGTTTTCAACGTTCGATGGGCGGGGACCGCCGAGATCGTTTGGATCAAGGTGACGAAATGCTGGAGATCGTTTCGGAACTTCCTTTCCCGAACGAACTCTTTCTTTCGTTCTTTATTTCGGATAGTTTGATTCTAGTCCAAAGATCGAGGAATAAGATACTCGAAATTTTCTCGATGATGAAGTTTTGCGGAACATTAAATCGAATGATTCTTTCATTAAAAAGTTGGGAAAGTAGTATCCGAGATTGATATTTTATTCATATATCTTTCCGATCTGGTACGAACGAAATGTCTTTTTGATCATCTTTTTACGTCTTTACGCAATAGAATTTATTAAACTTCTTAAAAATTTCAAAAATTGGAGAATAATTCTTTTCCAATATCATCTCTTGAATCTTTATAGTATATAAAAGATTAATATGTCTTCGATAATCCAATTTAATGGAGGAAGATATATTTAAAACTTTTATCATCTCATAACGTTACAATTTTCAAAAAATAAAGAAAACAGCTCGCTTATTAAAAACTAAAAAATATCTTTAAATTTTTTTATTTCTAATACACACAAATAATCTTGATCAAAACGAAATTCATGAAAATCATCGAATTACGAATATTTTTCTCAACCAAATGCACTCGTGAAGACGCTCGTGGATCACTCGACAGAAGCTAGATAAAAAAAAAAAAAAAGCTTGTTATATTTAAGTGACCCACATTCTTTTTCTTATCTTCTCTCGATGGAAATTGCCAATTTTCTCTGCACTTTCGGACCGCGGAGTCCGTTTCTCCAGTATCGTGTTCTTACGAGAAGCTTTCGAGGCGTCTCCCCGGTCTCATTAACCTGCCCTTTCATCCGGATACTAGTCGCTCGTCCGATGGCGAGTTTAATCAGCAAATTCGTTGAACCAGTAAGCCGTCCGCATTTGTCTCTTTGGCTCACGATTAATTAGTATCCAGATTAATTATCCACAGTGGTAGTATCTTTCCTCAAAGACACGTTATTCAGCATCAATGCATTCCTGTCGCATCTTTGTATTCCTCGTTTGTTCTTCTAAAATAGTAATTAGAGGTTAAGATACCGAATAGAAGGATAGATGAATCAGAGATATTTTATAATAATCCGTATACATTGGTACACTACGTACATGCGATACACTGTATTACATGTTATTTTTTTCAATCTTTTGTTGCACTATTTAACGATATTATAAACACAAACTTCCAATAACTTGCAGAAAATCTCCAAAACGCATTTGAACGCGACACGGTCACGTGTCACTTAGCCCGCACACCACGTGACACTGTCTACGAAGTTAATTGTCGCTGCTGCCCCCTTTCTCCAAATCTCGATCGATATTACCGATCGACATCACTGCATCGCACTGCATCCTTACTTCACTATGCACATATCCAATCACTTTTGATCCGTAAACCAGTGTAATTATCCTATTCCTCGATGACCAAATCGATATCCCTCAATCACCACGTAATTACACACGACAAATTAACGCTCCAACTGCCATCGATGGTAATAAACAGAGGGAGAGAGAGAGAGAGAGAGAAACACTCGTCACTGAAGAATCATTATCCAACGTGTACACAAAGGGAAATGAAGCGTAAAAAACAAGGTACGTAATGTCGAATAATCTCGTGTCACATTGTTAATTCGGAAATGATTTCATCACAGAATAATCACAATGTCGACCGTGCGCATCGCGATACGCGTTGACAGGCGACCGGTGGTGTATCTTTTCGGTACGAGAGTTCGTAGTTGACAGAAAGCCTTGGCGGGAGCTGCACGACGAATAAGGTGCCACTCCCACCCGCGCATGCTCCTCCACTCCGAACCTCGTGCCCTCTACATCGCGCTTATGCTTTCATTGGGCCTCTCTCTCTCTCCGCTCCTTACCTCGCCCTTTGCTCGACCCATTCTCGTATACGCATCTCACTTTTCGTTCCTTGTCGGCCTCACGTTTCTTGTTTTGCTTAAACGCGTTTTCTTTCCGTTTTCAACCCTTCCTCTCACGTTTGTTCATTGCCTTCGTCGATCACGGACTCTCCCCACTACTGTTTCGATTCGATGGCACGTGCTTCGCCGCGCCCGGCTATTCCATAAACCAATTAATGTGAGAAGTAAGTTAGAGATCCGTATTATGTTGGAACGTCAATGCTCGAGAGGATGATATCCAGGGATGTTAATGTTTTTTTAGTGAGTATTGAGACTTGTTTGATATTAATTGAATTTTATATGTAATATTTGTTTAAATATTTTTAGATTTTTTTGAAATTGTAAATAGTTTATACACCATCTTCGATTAAAATCTTAAGTATCGTATCAAATTTAAATATAATCTATAATCATGCATAGAAATAGATTATTTTTATTCAAAATTGAACGCAATCTAACGAATTTTCAAATCAAATCCAAATCTAATCCTAATAAAAGTTGAAGAATTCGAACATAAGCGTTCCAGAAGCTCGTTTTCAATTTCAAGCTCACGAAGCTCATTTGAGCTCCCTCACGTTTCGCTGGAACTCCGATAACAACGATCTCCTTGGGACAGATCGAACTATTCTATTCAAATCGGCCGTCAACTCGGCAATTCATAGCACGTACGCTCGAGTATTGCTTCACGGATAATTGTTCCGGTCCTGACTACGCGAATCACTATCGATTGTGCTCCAAGAAATTAAATATACAGGCTGGACGATTAATCAAGTCACGTAGGGGGTACGAAGTCGATAATCTGTAATAGAACGTGTATCAGATAGCCGTGTAACAGCGCCCTCTATTCGGCCAACATAGTCGAATCGTCGATTATTCATAACTGGCATCGGAAAACTGCCATTATGTAAATTAAATTTTTAATGGTGTCACGATTATTCGTTTCACGACAAATTCCTTTTAATTTATCTCTTCCTCCTGCCGTGTGCACTTTGCAGTCTTTTAATCGAAATTGTTCCAAACTCCAGTTATTCCAAGACTCTGTTTTTACTCCAAAACTATGTACGTACTATGTATATCGTATATCATGGAGAAACAATAGACCTTTTAACTTTTTCGTTTCATTCGACCATTTGTCTGAAAGTAGTTGCACGATTGACAACAATTGCATAATTTTATAAATTTTTTTTTTTATATTTTATTTTATCATTGCAAGATCATATCGAGGTGACATCGTGCATTTCGACAATTATATTATCGAGATTCTTATTATCATGAAGATAATAGTACAATATTTTTTTATTAATTTTAAATCTATATCAAAATAATACCTATACAAAAATTAAACAATTAATTATTCTATCTCACTGTTCCTCACTCTCATCTTCAACATATGCATAGTACAGTAAACTATATAGTATCATATAACATTGATCAACATTCTGGAAATACCTGTTTCCAATTATGTATGTTCACATTTGGATTGAATAGAATTGACAAATAATATTTATACGAGCAAATAAATGGATGAACAATCTCAAACTCGATAAGATTCGATAATTTAAATCACACAGGCTAGATAAAAGTCCTTTACTCACACTTTGATGACATGGTACTATCCTGCACCACTTTGTCCAGTTATCCAACGGCCACTGTATAAAGCTAATTGAAAAAAATTCGCTCACGTTGCAGTCTTTTGAAGGAAACAGCATTAACCAACCTTTTCCCTGGCAAAATTTCGGTAAAAAAAAAAGAGAGAGAAAGAAAGAACCAGGGATAAAAGATGAGATGGAACAAGAAGGATAAATCTTGGTCAGTTTTGAATAAGTAGGTTAAATCGTGATGTACGTAAGCTATTCGTAGATCTGCGCGATGATTAGTCTCATTTTCAGAATTTTTAAGGATTTTTAATATTTTTGAAACGTTCGAAGATTGCTGCAAATTGCGAAGAATATTGAAGAGATTAAAACGAAAGTTTGGTTATTGGATGAGAGACTTTACCTTAGGTAAATTTTAAGAAGATTTACTTGATCATAGTAGCGCGTTTTTATTCTTGTAATAAAATTGTAAAAATTTCGTACAAATATTACAATTTTTAAATTCCACTCAATTTATTATCTACGATATATAAAAAATTTTTGGAAATGAGATTTTCATTTTGTAAAATATATTTGATATTTTTTCAATCAAAAATTTTGAAACGAACAATTTTACAGAAAAATCATGGTAAATTGTTATATATATTAAAATATTTATTATCCATTTCATATTCATATAATAGAAATTATTTATTTAATTTTGAGATTAAATATGTATTTTTGCATTTTAAAATATTTCAGGAATATTAATTTCCATGTATCGTGTTCCATTTCATAATACTTTGTGAATTTATATTTCAAAAAACTATCTTTTATTCTAAATAATTATTCACTCACAAGTACTTCCTTTTGAATCAAAAGAAAATCAATAGGGATGAATTTATTTTATACCGTACATGAGTATCAATATATTTGTTTTTTCTTTCTCTCAGTAGGTAGATATCGCATTAATTCTGATTGGATTAACTGATTTAGATTAATTAAACTGCATACTGATATGTAACTTTTTGTTGCAGAAGATTTAAATAACGTGTTATTGTCATGCAAACAATCTGTCGCCAAAAAAATATAGCTCTGGTAAAAAGATTTGCATTGATAATCATCCTTTTTTTTCAAGAGAATACATTTTCACGATAAAAAATGAACATGATAAAGATGTAGGATGATAATATAATATCATATTAACCGTAAGCATCATTTTTCAACTAGGACACTACACAATGTAAAGACATAAATTGCTCTTCAAAATACACGTATATAATTAATATTTATAAATTATAAAGTCCGGAAAAAACAATGACATAATAATATGACAAAAAAATTGTTTTTAACATAACAATCATATTACAATTAACAAATGATTTATGTTTTCGACAATCGAATAATATTTTATTTACAATATTTTATCATGACAATATGTCATCATATCATCTCTTTCCAAATTAAACAACAATTTTATACAAATAGCTTCGTTCATGATTCAATTAATATTTATTTAATTCAATTTGATTATAAATAAAATTCCTTTCCTTTCTTCGTTTAAAAAAAAAAAAGAAAAGAAAAAGTAACTCTTTCGAACTCTTTCTTGTTCTCTCAAAACGAAAAGAGAAAAAGAAAACTGAAATATTAAAAAAAAGGATAAAAGAAGGAAGAACAAACCATGCAAAACTCGACAGAAAACGAATGGTGAAGCACTCTTTAACGTAGAATCGAGAAGAACCGCACAGTATCCAATTTTTATTCGCTTCCTATT